TGGTGAGGCGGGGGGGAGCGGGCCGGAGGGGCTGACGCCTGAGCAGCTGCGGCACAGACAGGAGCGGCTGCTGACCATCCAGCGCATGCACAAGATGCTGTTCCCAGAGCAGGCGCAAACAGCGCCACCTAGCGACAGCCTCGCGCAACAGCAGCAGATAGACCTCGCCAGTCTGCAAGGTCTGCATTTATTTATTTATTCAAAATTGGACGTTTCGAGTGACATCCGCCACTCTTCTTCAGCGTCAGTAAGGAACTAACAGAACTCATTAACACTTATATAGGAGCAACTTGCAAAAACAGTTGAACATGGCAAGACTCATATAGTCAATGATTTGTAAAGGAGACTGTTTTTTCCAGTAGCTCATATATAAGTGTTAACGAGTTCTACTAGTTCATTTGTGACTCTGAAGACTCAAAACGTCCAGAAATTATCTCCGTAATTTTTGAGTAGTAGAGTTTGAATTTCCTATAAGTATGTTGACCTGGATGTCTATTCTTCATCTATGTATTATTATTAATATTAGGCCGACCTGGGATGCCCCCACGCGGCCCAGCAGGCATCAACATGCAGCAACAACAACAGCCCAGCCCGGGGAACCTACCCACCAACCCGATGATGTCACCGCACGGACTGATGACATCACAGGCCAACATGATGACATCACAGGCAGGGTGGAGCGGCGACCCTTCCCAGGGTGCACCTGCACACAAGGCAACGGCGGCGGCCATGTTAGGTCATCTGGGGTCGTCGCCGGTGGGGTCGGAGGGCATGGTGTCACCGGGGTCAGACCAGATGTCGGCCGCGCAGATGGAGTGGCGGAGGCTGGAGGAGAGTTTTTACAGAGAGAAGAGAAAACGGATGTTGGAGCAGCAGATGATGCGTGGGCAGCCATATGGGGGACAGAGGTCGGTTTTCAGTTAAACTTCATTATGTTTACCTTTGCAGTGGGAAAACATGTTGTTTTTGCTCAGTTTCTTCCTCTTCTTCTTCAAACGAATAAGGTCAATGACCAAGACCAGATGTCTGTCACCATGGTAACTAGTGTTAGGTTACAGTGCAGAACTTAGTTCAAGAGGGGCTGCATGTCAGATGTATGATGCAATCACTGACTCTCCGGAAGTCAGAAGCGTCAGAAGTGCATCAAAAGTGTCAGGAACATGGAATCTTCCACTGACAAGAGTGACGGATATCACACAAAATGTCTGGAAGTAATCTCTGTAATTTATCCAGTAGTTAGTTAGAGTTTGAACTGCCCACAAGTATTGTTTACCTGGATGTCTTACCTTTCATTAACAAATCTTTGATGAAATCTTCCCTGCAGGTACCCTGGTCCACAGCAGTTCTTACCTCAGGACTATGACGGCCCCCCAGACTCCCAGGGGGCTTTGCAGCAGACTATGCAGCCTCCACCCCCCTACCAGGACATGGCGCGGTCCATCCAACGACAGCAAACCGGATTCTCTACCTCATACGGCGAGCCCTATGCACACCAGCTGCTGCAGTCCCAGTCACAGCCACAGGGGGCGCCCCAGGACAGACATCAGCTGCTGCAGTCCCAGCCACAGCCACAGGGGGCGCCTCAGATGCTGCAGTCCCAACCACAGCCACAGGGGGCGCCCCAGATGCTGCAGTCCCAGCCACAGCCACAAGGGGCGCCTCAGATGCTGCAGTCCCAGCCACAGCCACAGGGGCGCTTCAGGACAGACACCAGCTCCTGCAGTCCCAGCCACAGGGGGCGCCCCAGCTGCTGCAGTCCCAACAACAGCCACAGGGGGCGCCCCAGGACAGACACACACTACTGCAGTCACAGCCACAGGGGGCGCCACAGATGCTGCAGTCCCAACAACAGCCACAGGGGGCGCCCCAGCTGCTGCAGTCCCAACAACAGCCACAGGGGGCGCCCCAGGACAGACACCCACTACTGCAGTCACAGCCACAGGGGGCGCCGCAGATGCTGCAGTCCCAGTCACAGCCACAGGGGGCGCCCCAGGAAGGTACCTCCCCAAACTTCAGTATTAGTCAGCAGCTGCAGGAGAGGGCACGACTGTCGGCACAGCGAGAACAGCTGCCGCAGTACGCAGCTGGCCAAGGCCCCGGTCACCCAGCCGGTCACCCAGGACCACACCCAGCCGGACACCCAGCCGGTCACCCAGGTGGACACCCAGGTGGTCACCCAGGCGGTCACCCACACCGCTTCATGTACCCCATGCAGGACCGCCCTCGACCCCAGGTCTGTATTTGCTCTGTTTCCTCTTCTTCCATTCCAGAAGGTCAATGACCTGGTCCAAATGTCTGTCACCATGGTAACTGGTGTATTGTAGCAAAGTGGCAGGACACACCATATATGGTGTTGGAATAAATTATGTAGCAAGTGGGGAGGACAAGTTGGAGGGAATGATTATCAAATAAGCATCCTTGCTTATGAGTCAGAATAAACAGAGCTGCTTCAATCCTTGGTTGATAACTTGGTTGACTGTTTCTTGATGTTTTTTTTCTGCCAAAGGTTTCCCCATCCCAACAGTCGGCCATGCAGAGACTGATGATGTCACAGCAGAATCTGATGATGTCACAGCAGGGACCGATGACATCACCGGGCATGATGTCACCGGAGGGTCCGAATGGGGGGCTGCTGATGGAGCTTCACCGGGACCGGAACGCCGGTGGGAGACCCACACGCAACACCGGTGGGAGACCTGCTGCAGGCAACGACATGATGTCACCCAACTCTGCAGCCAGCCCACAAGGTCAAAGGCCACTGGGGGTCAAAGGGCAGAGTTCAGATGGGAGTGAAGACACTCCCCCAGAACACAGCCAGTCCAGTCAGTTGGGAAACCAGCCTGGAACCAGCCAACAGATGCAAAACCAACCTACAACAACTAGCCAACAGATGCACAACCAGCCTACAACAACCAGCCAACAGGTTCACAACCAACCTACAACCACTAGCCAACAAATGCACAACCAACCTACAACCAGACAACAAATGCGCAACCAGCCTACAACAACAACACGCCAACCTACAACCAGACAACAGCTGCACAACCAACCTACAACCACTAGCCAACAACCTTCCGCCAAGCAGTCTACAACTCGCCGACCATCGCTCCCCAACAGCCAACAGATGTTCAACCAGACAGCATCCAGCCCTGTTGTCACCAGCCAACCTTCAACCTTTGCCCCCACGACCTTTGCCCCCACGACCTTTGCCCCCAGCTCACTGCAGCAGCTGGAGCAGCACTTTTCCAAGCGGTTCATGTCCGGTTTTGACGAGGCTCCCTTCAGCAAGACCACCGCCCTCACCACCACCAACAACGTTTCCATGACGACCGTCGCCACCACCGTTACCATGACGACCGCCGCCGTGTCCAGCCGGACCGGGACATCAGCGTCCGACGGTTCCGCGGTTGCCATGGCGCCCAAGTTCAAGGCGCCGCCGCCCCCCACCAACGGGGTGAAGCCTGCGGCCAGCAGTGAGAACGACGGCGTGACCTCCCCAGCCGACAGCAGAACTCTCTCGCCCGCCGTGCTGTCTCCCGCACAGGTCAAAGGCCAGGGGACGGGGGATCAAAGTTCGAAGCCGATGTCGCCAGCGGTGGCGGTGAAGTCGCCTGCAGTACCCCCGCCTGCCCAGCAGGGGTCCTCGCCGGCGCCGGTGCCCTCCCCCAAACCGAAGCGTGGACCATCGCCCGCCCTGGCGAACTCGCCCGCGGTGCAGTCGCTACGATCACCAGCTCCCGGTTCACCCTTCGCTCAGCCCCTCAAGTCGCCACTGGAGAAAAAGTCGCCAAAGGTTCCGCCGCCCTTGAAGTCACCTTCCGAGGTCAAATCCCCCATGATGCCGCAGCGGCAGTCGCCGGGCCTGAGATCTCCCACAATCCCCCAGGAGTCGGGCGGCAGCGTTCCGAGCTCGCCCGCCGTGCCCATCAAATCCCCCGCCGTCCTGAAATCTCCCAGCATGCCCAACAACTCTCCCATGATGCAACAGGTGAAGTCGCCGATGCGGCGGCAGGAAAGCTCGCCCGTCGTTACCATGGTGAGGCAGGAGATCCCCAAGACCATGATGCCGCAGGAGAGGTCGCAGGTCATCCCCACCACCATGCGACCCTTGTTGCCACGGCAACCCCAGCAGCTGGACACCATGAGCCAAGGTCAGAGGCTGGCCATGATGGCAGGTCAAAGTGCAATGTTAGGTCAGAGTTCGATGGGGATGTCCGTCGCCTCATCGGGACAGTTCGGCCATCAGATGGGCGGTTTCCCGCGGCAACCGTCGCCGGGGCAACGGCACATGCTTGGGCGCGGGCCGGCGCAGTACCTGGCGCGGCCGCCAGGGGGTGATGTGGAGCCGCAGTCGAGGGGAAACATCATGTACTCGCAGTCACAGCTGGTGCAGATGCAGGCCCGCTACATGGCCGGGCTCCGACAGGACACCCCCGCCCAGACAATGGTACCTCCCGGGATGAGACAACAGGACACCCCCGCCGCAGGAATGATCCCTTCCCAGCCCAGGCCCAGCTTCGAGCCGCAGGCACCGGTGGAAATCGGACCAAACACAGAGTTCGCGCTGGCTTTCCAGAAACGCGGGCCCCCCTCCCCACCACAGAACAGGTTCCCCAGCCCACAGCAGGCCCACCCCCCACACCCTGGGGAGCACAGGTACCCCCACCCTGGGGACATCCGCTTCAGCGAGGCTCAACAGATCATGGATGCAAGATATCCCCACCCAGGGGAGAGCAGGTTTCCCCACCCCAGTGACAGTCGATTTCCCCACCCAGGGGAAAGATTTCCCCACCCTGGTGACACTAGGTTTCCCCACCCTGGGGAGAGTAGGTTTCCCCACCCTGGTGACAGAATTCCCCACCCAGGGGAAGGCAGGTTCCCCCACCCCCAACAAGGCACCCAGAGATACATGCACCCTGGTGAGAGGTACCCCCACCCTCAGCAGGCGTTGGACAGGTTCCCCGCCCCGGGGGAGGGTCGTTACGCCCCAGGGGAGGGGAGGTACGCCCCAGGGGTGGGGGAGAGCCGGTACATGGCGCAGCGGATGGCCGGGATGCTACAGGACGGGCTGGAGGAGGCGAGCCTGATGGACCGCTCCGTCGCGCTGCAGAACTTACAGAACATGCTGGGGGGCCCGCCGCGTGCCATGGCAGCCGAGTCGCTAGGCAACAGCATGGAGGCGTTTCCCGGGCAACGGCAGATGGTGGAGGAGATGAGGTCGCAGGAGGCCGTGCAGAGCATGCTGGGAAGGATGATGCAGCAATCCCACAATGCCATGGGAAACGTGCCCATGCCGAAGTCGGTCATGTCCGCCGGACTTACCCATGGTGCAATGCAGGGGCCGAGGATGTCGCCGCCCTACAGCGCAGCCGACGGAGGTCAAGGGTCAGTGGGCCAGATGTCAGGGGGTCAAATGTCGCCTGGGAGCATGATGTTCAAAGCGCCTGTGGGTCCAGTGGGGGATGCTGGGATGCGTGGGGAGGGGGGCGTGCACATGCAGGACATTCAGCAGACGCGGAAGGCGCAGCGCTTCGTGTTGCCCACGGAAACACCAACCAGAACGCTGCAGTACTTTCCCGCGGGGAAGCCCGCCGACCGGGCGCCGCACCCCGGCGCCATGCAGCCCGCCATGAGCGTCCCGAACCTTTCAGCCAATCAGGAGCCGCAGAAGAGAATCTCCTTCTCCGAGGAAAACCTGATGCAAGCTGGGAGCAGAGCAATGAACCCTGGGTATCCTGCAATGAACCATGGGTACTCGGGCTACCCTGGACAGTAGGACTATGTGGTGCGGGGGGGTGCAGGGTTGAGAAATGTTGCCATATCCAGTGAAACTACATAGAGCAGGACATGAGATATATTTGTACATACGTGTTTTGCAGGGCATGGTGGGTATGACCTTTGACCAGCCCGCTGATGTGTCCCTTGACCTTGTTGTTCCATGAAGTTCTGCATGTATTCTGGCCGTGGTGTGGATCTCTGCGACCCCTGTCCTCTGACCTGACCTGACCCTGATGTTGTAAGGTCACGACCCTGACCTGACCTCTACATCTTATTCTACTTTTCCCGGAAAAGAAACACAATTTCCAGGAGACAACATTTTGAGAAAAGACTCTTTCAGAAAGCACAAAACATCCTGTAGCTCTAAACACACCCAGTATGGGAAAGTTTTTTTTTTTCCTACCATTTCGAAAACTTTAATTTAATGGAGATGGTCCACATAGAATATGCAAAGCTAGAAAATGTAAACCAAAGCTACTACTGTCAGAAAAGATTTAACCCTGAAACACAAGTCAGGTCAGGTTAGAAATTTGATACCTTGATGTTCTGTCTCCCAGAGATGTTGCCACCAGACCTTTTGTAGCGATGTGAGGGAACAACAGCAGTGGACAGTGGGGATTTTTTGTGCAGCAAGTTGAAACTGTAATTTCCAACACAAGAAATTGGACTCACCCAAATTTTCCTTCACCTACCAAAAGAACTGGAGTTGTACAGTCGAAAATTTGGGTGAGTCCAATTTCTTGTGTTGGAAATTACAGTTTAAACTTGCTGCATAATGACTTCTACCAACACAGATGAACTTTCAAGATAAGTGGCGTTTTTTGGCGATGCCAAAGGGGCGGAGCCCTTTAATATGTTGTACAGGTGGTTTTGTTTCCGGTGCCTTTTTACTGACGTGTTGGGCCTCTATGGGTCCTGTCAACTGTGCCATATAAAGGGTGGGAGAGCACATCGGCAGAGCGTACTGCGCCTACGCAAAACCAGTAACGTATCGTGCATTGCACTTTGGCAGAACGTCTCTTTTCTAGCCGTATTCAAGGATGACATCCTGTTGGGAAAGATATCCTCAAATTCTGATGCAATGTTGACCAAACATCCAACGAAAACCATGAAAAATCAGGGTTTTTAGTAGGGACACGACATCTATTTTCAGGGTGTATTCAAGGATGACATTCTGTAAATGTTGTGTTGGGAAAGATATCATCAAATTCTGTTGCAACGTTGACCAAACATTCAACGTATTGTGCATAGCACCTTGGTAGAACATCTCTTTTCTAGGCGTATTCAAGGATGACATTCTGTAAGTGTTGTGTTGGGAAAGATATCCTCATTCTGATGCAACGTTGACCAAACAACCAACGTATTGTGCATAGCACTTTGGTAGAACGTCTCTTTTCTAGGCGTATTTCGGATGACATTCTGTAAATCTTGTGTTGGGAGAGATATCATCAAATTCTGATGCAACGTAGACCAAACATCCAACGTATTGTGCGTAGCACTTTGGTAGAACGTCTCTTTTCTAGGCATATTCAAGGATGACATTCTGTAAATGTTGTTGGGAAGGATATCCTCAAATTCTGATGCAACATTGACCAAACATCCAACATATTGTGCATAGCACTTTGGTAGAACGTCTCTTTTCTAGGCATATTCAAGGATGACATTCTGTAAATGTTGTTGGGAAGGATATCCTCAAATTCTGATGCAACATTGACCAAACATCCAACATATTGTGCATAGCACTTTGGTAGAACGTCTCTTTTCTAGGCGTATTTATTGCTGAAGTCCTGTCTGTAGTTGTAGATGTTCTGTTGGGAAAGATATCCGCAAATTCTGAAGCAACGTTGACCAAACATCCAACGAAAACCATGAAAAATCTGGGTTTCGCACAGTCGAAACATCTCTTTTTAGGGCGTATTTAAGGGTAACATCCCATCTGTGGTGTTGGAAAAGATGCTCTGATGCAACGTTGACCAAACATCCAACGAAAACCATGAAAAATCCGGGTTTCGCTCTTTTCAGGGCGTATTTGAGGATAACATCCCATCCATAGTGTTGAAAGTTGTGTTGGAAAAGATGCAACGTTGACCAAATATCCAACGAAAACCGTGTTTCGCGCAGGCGCAGTATGTTCTGCTGACATGTTGGGTGGGAGGGTTGTGGTTATATTGTATGATGGGCTGATTGTACATGTCTGTATCATTGCCAAACTTTACTGTATGAAAAAAGGGAAAAACTTGTACACTGCCATATAACATATACGGGAGCTGTTGAATAGGAGTGATTATTATCAGCAAGTTTTAACTGGCATCAGGTTCAGTTTCTATTAATTTCTTTTTTTTTACTGTTGATTTTTGTTTGGTGCGGGCGGGAAAATTCCTACGACTGCACCAATTTAGTCTCTGTTTTTTTCAGACATTTTAAAGTAAAAAATGTAGGAATAGGACAAAATGAAACCATTCTTGAACTACGTCAATTGCTGCCATTTTTAGGGAAGGGACTTATTCATTTTCAGGCACATTTGTGGACAACCATAGATACCTTTTTCGCCCAACATTAAAGCATTTTCAGACAACCCTAGACATATTTTTCAGACAACCATAGCCACATTTTTTGTCCACTGTAGGCAAAAGTTTTGGTACTCTTCTTTTATACCCCAACAGTGTTACTGTCAAATCTTCGCACAATGTTTGAAGCTTGTTTGTCGGGAAACTCCTGCATGTGGTCGGGACAGCTCTGTTCAGGGGGGGGAGGGGGTGTGATAAACTGTAAACTCACCCCACAGATTACATTGATCAATGTATAACACAGCCATTCTTTGCAGGGCTGTTTCTTGAGTGGTCATAAGGGAGTATATCCATGACCGGAAATTGGGGGGGGGGCAGAAGGATGGGAGGTCTATGCAATACTTGTGGGTCTCACACCAGTGTAGCTTGACAGCTGAGGGTCTCACACCAGTGTAGGTTCACAGCTGTGGGTCTCACACCAGTGTAGCTTCACAGCTGTGGGTCTCACACCAGTGTAGGTTCAGCTGAGGGTCTCACACCGATGTTTGCCGACAGCTGTGTACGTATACTCACACCAGTGTATGCTCAGCTGAGGGTATCACACCGATGTTTGCCGATAGCTGTAGGTCTCACACCAGTTGGTCTCACACCAGTGTATGCTCAGCTGTTGGTCTCACACCATTGTTCATCTGCATTGTGGCAGATATTTTCTACCTTTGTCACCACTTTCTTGAGTTGTAAATGATTGTTTTACCTTTTGTGGTATACAGGAGATATGTTTATGTACAGTTGGGGTCGGGGGCAGGAAAAAGCAGGTACAGAAAAGGCTCCCATAACTAGCACTTAAGTCTGGTACTGTAGGTCCTGTGGTAGGTTTGTACGTAGAGCTAGAGACAAAAAATCTGCAATATATGATAGGGAACAAGTTGTGTTACATACAAACTTTTCATGTTGAAAAAAATGTTCTTGTTAAAATTCTGTAACTTTTGAGAGAGAGAAAATACAACATATCTTGGAGGAAATATGCTCAAATTCAGCAATAAAAACTCTTTATATCACTATTATTGATGGAAACGGTTTTGCTCTGTTTTATCCACATCACAACAGTTCAGCTAAAGCTAAGGCTGTTACTAGTATGGTCCTGTCAATAGTGGATAAATTTTAGCCTCTACCCACGGTCGCAAATTGGAGCTTCTATGGCCCGGGATCTTCTCTGGTGTACTATCCCTTTATTTCGGCCAATTTCTACTATTTTTCCAGCGATCCGCGGTGCCTGGTAGAGGCTAGTTTTATCCATCTTACAACAGTTCAGCTAAACCTAAGGCTATTACTAGTATGATCTTGTCAATAGTGGATAAATTTGCACAATTGACAGGATCATCTTGTCAATAACAGAACAAAATACATTATTTATCATGCTGTCAGTAGAACACTTTTCCCACTTTAGGAGTAAATGTTGCACTATTGAATTTTACACTTTTTCCTATTATTGATAGGATGATCCTGTCAAGAGCCATTCCATTCAGCTAGATGCAGTCAGGTATGGTCCTACTCTACAGTGTCTTACCACAACGCCACCCTGCGACTATGAGTAGCATTGCACCCTGATGAAGCAGCTGAACCGTTAGGCAGGTAGATCTTTAACAGTGTTAGTTTGTGTTCGAAGTCGACTTTTCGCTGTTTCAACAACACAACGTTACCTCCTAGAACGTTCTCCAGGTTTTGTTAGTTTGTTGGTTGGTTCTTTGCTTGAACAGTGACAAGTCGGTTGAGACTTTAGTAGAAATATCTTTAGGCTGATTCGGCTTTTTATCTTGTAGTTTCTTTTGCTTCTTACTCTTTTACATTGCCATTATATTCTTCAGTCAAGAACCCCTCCTTTGGCCAAGTCCCTTCGAACTGAAAATCTCCGTTTACCAACTAAAAAGAGACACCAGAGACAGATTTGCTAAAAGAAAATGAAAACTTTAATCATTTTTTCCAGTTGTGTAAACGTTTGCAAAGACATCTAGCGTGTGGCGTAGCGGCAGAGTGCTCGACTCGGAACCACTTTACACGACCTTCCTCAATTCACTCAAGTGAAAATGAGTATTGTATTGTCCCCTGTGTTGGTGGCGGCATTAATACAAGTTGAAAAAACTTGAGTGTGCCGTCACCACGTCTTGTGATATTGGCATATAAAAAAAAGACATCTAGGCTGTCGTTGTTTCGGTTCCGTTGCTAATTCCAGAATTTCTGGAAGTAAAAACAGACAAGTTTGACATCCTCATGTTGGTCCTATCAGAACCAGACGACAGTAGGGTTTTCCTGCAGAACAACTTCGCGATGTGCTTCCGAAAGTTTCTGCCTATGAACGCGTACAGAAATGGGTTTATAACCGAGTTTAACACGGCAAGTGCTGTAGCCACATACACCACTGCAATATTCTGTCCGTCAGCGTACGAGTGGATAGAAAAGGATGTTATATGAAACGGCAACCAACAGACTAAAAAGAAGACTGTAACTATGAAAAGCATGGGGATGGCGTGGTGCTTTGACGTCATGCGTCTTGCCGCAAAACGGGTTACCGATTGGCGACCTGTCGCAAACTTGCGCCGCTGCCGTCGTAAAGTATAGAATATCATGGCATATACCGGAATCAGTATACAGGCTGGTACGATATACGAGATTATGAATATGATAAACTGTAGCGCTCTGTACGGATACCCACTGTCCGGATCGTCTGGTTTTAGGTACACGCACTCGTACAGACTTTTGTAGGAAAAAGTCCAGTCTCGTGAGATGATGTTTCGCTCCACCGTGTCCAGAACAGCTGTTAAAAACGCCCCGATCCAGATTTTGACGCAAGTTTTTGCGGCGCCCCTGGCCGTGGTGTTGAACCTGTGGTTAGCGAAAAGAAACAAAATAATATTATCGTTATTGTAACATGTACACAATGGAACAAACTGCTATGTTTTTATCATTGTGGAACATTATGGGCCGATACTATCCCTGTAGCTGTGTGGGAGGACTCAGTTCCGAGCCTGCCAACTTGGCCTTAGGGTCAATCTGTTGTAGCCAGACCTACCACCCTCATCCCTTCCTGACATTCGACTGCACAAACACACAACACATGTACATACACACTGACATTCAAACACACACACACACAGCAAACAGAGTGCACACACTCACACACACACACAAACAAACAAACACACTCCCATGCGCACCTGTACCTGTGCGTGAACGGCTTAGTAACCGCCTGGTAGCACTCACACACACACACACACACACACACACACACCTGTACCTGTGCGTGAAACACATGTACATGTACATGTACGTGCCTGTGTGTAAACGGTTTGGTGACCGCCTGGTAGCGCTCACACGCGATCGCGATGAGGTGAAAGATGCTGGAGGCCGCCAGGAACACGGCGATGACGCGGCCTACGTCACAGCTCCTGTCACTCACCAGCCGCGCGATGACGTAATCCTCCTCCACGTCGCCTAGCAACGAGAAGCTCTCCTCATCCACACGGACCTCCGTGCAGTTGGTCAGCTCCAGAACATCCGACTCAAAGTCGGTCAAACTTACGGTAGTGAAGTTTGCAGTAGAGTTGATGTCCCCCGATTGCCGGCAATGCTCATCAACCATGTCCACCAGAACGCTCTGTAGATGTCTGTACCTGATGGACACTGCAGCCTGGACTATTACAAACATGCAGAAACAGCAGTCTGCCACTGCGAGGTTTGCCACGTACAGATTGTGGATGGTCCGCAAGGGGGCGTAACGCGCCACGATGAACAGTATCAGCAGATTCGCCAGCATCCCGACTGCTGATATGCAGCATCGGGAAATGTTCGCGATGTAAGTCACGTCTGCCATGCTTGTCTGTTTGTTTGTTTGTTTGTTTGTTTGTTTGTTTTGTCAGCTCTCCATCAGTGTCTCACATAGAGTTTTACATGGGGTTCCCCATTGAAACTCACATGACATACAATGTTCTAAGCTGTACAGATGATACTTAGTACGGAATGCTCCTCCAATTGAATTAGTCCTCTCTATTGAATTAGTCCAGGTTGTCTTCAGTACTGATTTTTCTGGCTTAGGAAGAAGAGATGCTGCTCCAGTAACCTCACCTTAGTCTAGTACCTAGAAGTGGTCTCTTAGCCCTGTACTGAGCCAATTTTTTTTTCAGCGTATCGAATTTGCGATTGATTTTCTGTCGGCTTCCACGGAATCCTTACGGACGAGTGACGTCAGCTGTTAGTCATGATTTCCAGGAAAAATCCTCAGACGAAAACATGGCGACTGTGTCCGCCCTTTTTCATGGTTGACTGGGATGGTAGCTGTCAGTAGTGCGTGGATTTCTGTCAGGGTGCCAAACTTGTCTCAGTTCCCTTTTTCTATATAGTTTGTTCTTGTGTCGAGATGTCGCAACTCGTAGCCAACTTATGCAATAATGTCTGGGGGAAGAAGAGAAGAAGTTACAGCAAACTGTAACAACAAAACACGCTCACAAAACTTGGAAAAAATATTCTTTATCTACGAAATGTGTTCAGCGATTTGTCAAATATTTGATCTGATTTTGTGGGGAAAGCGGGGTCTATTTTGGCCACCTGTTTCCATTGGTCGTCAGTGATTACATGTGGCCAATGTAGACTACCCTTGTAGCCTCTACCAGGCTTCGGGAGGCGGCTGGAAAGAGTAGAAATCGGCCACCAAATAGAGAGATAACATGCCGGAGAGTTGGTCTGCTAGAGAGTAAATTTTGCCGCACCCGAACTGTTCTCTCTAGCGGACCAACTCCTCTGGCATGTTATCTCTCTATTTGGTGGCCGATTTCTACTCTTTCCAGCCGCCTCTCGAAGCCTGGTAGAGGCTACAAGGGGAGTCTACTAGCATTTAGCCAATTTCTACTCTTTCAAGCCGCCTCCCGAAGCCTGGCAGAGGCTATCCTCTTAGGTTGTCCCACGGAACCTGCTTGGAGATTAGTGGAAAGGGGCGTAAACAAACAGGAAGCGGTTGAAACACGAGCGTCACGATAACCAAACAAGTTCAGCCAGGGTCAATCGGCCGTGGACCCCCGAACAATAGTGTTAGCTTGACTGGTGATTAGCGATCAACAACAGGGTGTTAAATAACACTTTGGTGGTAGTATATGGTTTGTTGGTAAAAACAGTACTCTCCAAGCAGAGGTTGTGGGGGGATGATCGTTAAATTTTTATATATGGCCGTTTTTTTTGTCCTGACCCCCACCCGTCGGTGGCCGGCGACCTTCTCTGGCCAATGGATAATTTGATACTGTCTTTTTGCCACCGAGAGGGATCTGCTTGGAGATTAAAAACACGGGACAAATCTGCCTTGCAGTATACACTGAATTGTGCCGAATTTTACATTCCACATACTCAGTAAAACTAACACTGTAGGCTAATATAGTACATACACAGGTATATAAAAGTAACGTTCAATCAGTCGACATGGTTTTTCATACTATATCATTATATATAGCATACTATAAGTATATCATTTGATCATTTCTGCCCCACCAAAAGTCACACCACAATGAATCATACAAAAACAATGTGACCTTGCCCTTTTATATGGCGTAGTATTTGTTTCCTTATGACGCCATAGACCAGATTTCTACGAACGTTTCAACGTAAGTTCTCACTACAACGTAAATGTGCAACCTGTATCATATTCAGAAATGTGCCTATGCTGAATGGGTTAGGGTTATGATCAGACATGGTTCTGGATAGTCTATATTGTATCCAGAACTGTGCCTGTATCTAGGTTAGGGATAGGATCAGGCACGGTTCTGGATAGTCTGCGCGTGTATCCAAGAACGCATATTTACTCCAGGCACGGTTCTGGATACGCGTGGACTATCCAGAACCTTGCCTGAACATAGTTCTGGATGAAAGCACAGTTCTGGACAAATGTCTAAATCTTACCGTCCGTAGCAGGCTTATAGAACTGGGGGTTTAGTGGTCTTCGGCTGTTTTCTGATTAGCCTCCGTAGCAGGCTTATAGAACTGGGGGTTGGTGGTCTTCGGCTGTTTTCTGATTAGCCCAGTTCTAAACGGGGGTAATTCAACCACGCTATGGTGTCTATATGAAATCAGAAAATAGCACATAAAAGCTCCCAAAGACCCTGAAGACCCCCAAAACCCCCAGTTTTTGGCATGCTATGGAGGCTACTAAATCTTACCTTACTAAGTCCCAGCTCATAACCTCCGGTTATAGCAGCGGCCTTGATACAGAACCAGTCTTTCCAGTATGGCGCTTCGGCGAGCATTCGTCACTACTAGTGAAGGGACCAGATTTAGGAGGGCCTGCATGGGGGGTCCCGACAACGCTCTACGCTGAATTCAGGAAACCTCTCGATTATGCTTGACGATAAATTTCAAGTGGCTACAACGCATTACGTAGAATTAAAACGGCGAATACGCTCCACGCAAAATGCGCCAATTACGCTCTACGTTGAATTAGAGCTGTCTACGTAGAATTAAAACAGCCGATTATGCTCCATGGAAAAGGGCATGCGGGCCCCTATTTAGCAAAGCTACTGTGTGTGTGTTTAAAGAATGCAAAACGCGTAACTAACATTTATGAGACTCATAAAACCGAGAGTAAATCAGGTACGGCAAACGTTGTAAACCTAAGTCCATTGTTACCTACCCGTAGGTGTTCTTCGAAGGGTACTTAAGAACCTTAAGAAGACGTCGTACGTGACTGAAGGACGGAGAAGGTGTAAGGACGCCTCGGGCAGGTGGAATGAACTACTTAAGACCAGGGGTGGGTCCAGTCTTGTAGCGACACCTCTGAACCGTCATATGGGTGTTTTGAAGGACCTGAAGCAATGGCTTTTTTCTTGGTTGATAACTCTGATATTTGACGGCATGACTGTTTCTTGTTCTTTTCTGGGCCGGGGGCCAATCTGTCGCCAACAATTTGTGGGGTAGTGTGGCGCCGTCGTTAACGCATTCGGCTCACACCCAAGAGGTCGCGGGTTCGAATCCTGCCCATATCACCGATCTTGGGAAAGGCACTTTACATGACTTTTCTCACTTCACTCAGGTGTAAATGAGTACCTAGCTTCGGTTAGGGACATCCCTCGGATAGGATGTGAAATGGAGGTCCCGTGTTTGGGAGAGCCACACCCCACACACGTTAAAGAACCCACTGCACTTTTCGAAAAGAGTAGGGGACCTTCCCGGTGTGAGTGGTTCAAACCTTACAGTCCGGTCTTACGCAGCTTGTACATGTACGTACATCATACTAGCCCGGTTACCAAACCTATTATACATGTAGCTCCCGAGTCCTACATCCTCTCCGCAAATAGGATGTAGGACTCGGGAGCTATAATAGGTTTGGTAACCAGGCTAACATCATACTACATGTACAAAACTGGTGTGTTACGCCTAAAGGCGGTTGACCGGTTATGCAAAACAAATAAACAAACAACAGGCCACACATCGCGGTGAGTTAACGAGTTGAGATTTTCTCCGTGTCTCCAGGATTAACTACAAGGCTGCCTGACCTTAGTTAACACCCGTCCGACCGGCCGTACCTTACAATGACTCACTGCTATGGCGACGTGTGGACCTGTCAAACACAACTCACACTCCAGACCGCACACGGCCGGCAACAACGTGGGGACAGGGTGAGTGTTTCACGATCACATACGACCGTGGTACGATCCCGAACCGATGGCACTCTTGTGATAGTCGTGAACGTATCTTAGAAAACTTTCATCCGCCAGATTTCGGAAAAAGCTGTCCAAGATCCTTGGTTCTGACAATCTGCTTGAAACGTCTACGACTAAACCGTACGGTGGTCTATACAATTGAGGCTGGGCCGTAAGTACTGAATACGGTGTGTAAGACTTGAATTTCTTGTGTCTAAATGTCAATATCGTAATAAGGCAAATTTACATGCATAGATACATGTATACAATAGATATAAGGTTTTCTTTCTTTAATCAACATATTTGCCCCCTCCCTTACTCGTCAGAAAGCTCGCATGTCCTGCCCCTGACATCATTTCCATCGCCTCAGGCAAGTCGACCTGAATACGACAGGAAAACCTGTTTTAGTCAGGGACGGCACTGGAAGGTACAGGATTCCCGATCTTTATCTTAAGCCCCTGTCGTATCTGTACATCGTAGGACTCCCAGGTTACCTACAGCAGTCTCTGTATACTGTACATGAACCTTCTAAAATGGCATTTCGTGCATTTTTGAGAGGATTTCCACGAGAAAATCAGAGATAAATTTTTATTCAATGACAAAGGGAGCAGTTTTTCTATGATTCCAGTCCATCTTTTCAAGAAAAATCTAGGACCTTTACATAAAATGTGGACCAAAAAGTGGACCTTTACAGAAAATGTGGACCAAAAAGTGGACCTTGACATAAAAAGTGGCCAAAAAGTGGACCATTGAGCCTTGTGGGGGG